GATTTAAAATCAAATTTTTTTTAAAAATACTTGTACTTTTACTCGTTACTTTTTAAAAGTAACGTTGCCATACATGCTTATTTGTCCCATAAATTTCGAAGGGTCAAGAGACTCAAAAAAAAAATTTGACATAAAATAACTTTAAAACAAATGACAACATTTTGATAGTAAAAAACACTGAATTGCAATGTTTCTGAAACACATTGTTTCATCGAATAGTTTCTATACCATAGACGCACTTGTTCAATTATATAAGACCTCTTCTTCCCTTCCTTCTTATCCTACTAATTTGAATCAGATTAGATCCATGAGTTTATTTGTCCTCATCACTCCCAGAACTACATCAGGTTGCTTTAAAAGGTCATCCCGCAACAAACTTAGAAGGTGTTGAGAAGTAGCTCCATTCGTATTGCACTTTGTAAAAATCTCCAACTTCTTGTTACCTCACGAGAATCTGATGGTCCTTAAGTGACCGAAAGTAAACTGTTGATACGACTATTAATTATAGCCGTCTTTAGTATGTATCATGTTAATTTGAGTTAAAATTAGATAACACATATTAACGTTAAATTAAGAATTTAATGATTTAAAATATTCCTGATTACATATTGATACAATAACATTAAGTAATACAAAAGGGAGAAAGAAGCTAGGATTACTCACCAGGGCGTCATATCGTAATCCAGTCACCTTCCATCAGCTTCTACTGATTCCTAATTAGGTGCAACCCCTACAGCAAGAGAGAACCTCGCCAAACTCACCCTTTGGCTCACTTTATCGATGTTTTTGGCGCACTAACTATATTGGGACTCCTTGCTCTGCATCATCCCTCCCCCGCCACAGGCGAGGGATTACCGAGAAATTCATTGACGCACTTGGTGAGGAACCTAGCTCTCTAAATGTGAAAAAAATTAATTAGTGTCCAAAGCAAAGTTCATCAGTTCAAGAAGTTGTAATCCTTGGCGGCATCTTCTGGCACTAGAAACAATGTCCAGCTGGATCTCGCAGGTTAATGTCCAAGCTAATGCTTCGTCTCTCGTAGTCAGATGTAGGCTGCTGAGTTCTTTCGGAGGAAGTGGAGAAGCATGTATTTGAGATGCAGCTGTTTTTGGCAACGAAGGTGGTTGTGGAGGAATCCTACCAAATGATAAAACTGGCGGAGCAGGGAAATCCAGTTGAAGGATAGGTGGAGGAACCATGTGAGTGGGAACAGTCATTGTGGCACCAACAGTACGCAGAGCCTTAGCAAACACTCGATGAGATGATCAGCAAACACTTCATGGGAACGATCAACAAACATTCGAGGAGGATGGTCAAGTAGCTCCTGGTGCAGTAGCTTTGAAACCAAGACTTCACCTTAATTGTGCTAGCAGGTAGTCCTAATTGTCGCTCTATTTCTTTTCCGTCATGACTAAACTCTAAATGCAAGTATAAGTAACACCAATAGTTTTGTAAGTAAAGGTATCAGTTAGTCCAATGGGACCAAAATTAGCCAGGGATCACAGGCCCCCGGTGAGCATCCTAGATTTCCCCCGTAATTTAAATGATTGTATTATATAACTTTATTATTTAAACTAATTTTAAATGAATTCGAGCTCTTGATCAGGGTGTTAGAACCAATTTACAAATTAACCTTAAGTAAGAAATAAATTATTTCATTACAACTTTTCCAGGTGATCAGACTGAAAAAACTAAAATAAACTTAACCTATCTCTTAAAAAAAATTTTTACATAAAATAATTCTACTATTATACAATTTGACCTGCAAGCATTTGAAACAAGAAAATAAAATCGCGTAACTAGAATTTTCAGCACGTGCATAATTCAATATAAGTTTTTTTTAAGCAAATTAATTCAAAAATTTTTTAAATATCTCTGAAACAATTAATAAATAAATGGAATTAAAAAACATTGCGCGAATGAAACTTAAAACTTAAGCTAGATTAATTAAGATTAGTAAAATACTGCGTTGTTCCTTAACCCGCGTGGTAAGGTGTCTCGGCACCATTGATACGACTATTGATATCAAATTAGTATGTATCATGTTAATTTGAGTTAAAATTAGATAACACATATTAACGTTAAATTAAGAATTTAATGATTTAAAATATTCTTGATTACATATTGATACCATAACATTAGGTAATACAAAAGGGGGAAAGAAGCTAGGATTACTCACCAGGGCGTCATATCTTAATCTAGTCACCTTCCAACAGCTAGGTAACGCTTCTACTGTTTCCTAATTGGGTGCAACCCCTACAGCAAGAAGGAACCACGCCAAAATCACCCTTTGGCTCACTTTATCGATGTTTTTTGGCGCACTTACTATTTTGGGACTCCTTGCTCTGCATCACTGTGTTAAAGCAGTTAAGTCCTTCCTATTCCTCTCAAATTTGAGGGCAGTAGCTGGACCTTTACTGGCTTCTATACCATAGATGCACTTGTTTGATTACTTAAGAACTCTTCCTCCCTTCTCTCTTATCCTACTGATCTGAATCAGATTAGATCCATGAGTTTATTTGTCCTCCTCACTCCTCGAACTACATCAGGTTGCTTTAAAATGTCATCCCGCAACAAACTTAGCAGGTGTTGAGAAGTAGCTTCATTCGCATTGCACTTTGTAAAAATCTCAAACTTCCTGTTACCTCACGAGAATCTGATGATTCTTAAGTGACCGGAAGTAAAATGTGTTAAAGCAGGTAGGTCTTTCCTGTTCCCCTCAGATTTTAAGGCAGTACCTGGACCTTCACTTGCTTCTATATCATAGATGCACTTGTTTGATTACTTAAGAACTCTTCTTCCCTTTCTCTTATCCTACTGATCAGAATCAGATTAGATCCATGAGTTTATCTGTCCTCATCACTCTTCGAACTACATCAGGTTGCTTTAAAATGTCATCCCGCAACAAACTTAGCAGGTGTTGAGAAGTAGCTTCATTCGTATTGCAATTTGTAAAAATCTCAAACTTCCTGTTACCTCAAGAGAATCTGATGATTCTTAAGTGACCGGAAGTAAAATGTATTAAAGCAGTTAAGTCTTTCCTGTTCCCCTCAGATTTTAAGGCAGTACCTGGACCTTCACTTCTATAAACTGGTGATTGCCTTCAAGAAATGACAGTTGAGTTGAGTTGTTGAGTACAGTCAAAGGTTTCTCACTTGACTGAGAGGCAGCAGTGCTGCTAGTTTATCCGATATATCATTATATTTCAGATTAGCATGAGATGAAATATTTGACATGTTTATTGTTCAAAAAAACTTAAACTCAACGTTTTTTTAATGGATAGCAACAGAAGTGGAGTTTATTTTTAACCTGAAGTGAACGTGTGCATTTTTCTAAAACAGTATGCAGTATGATCGAATAAATTTTAACAATTAATTGTTTTTAGTACAAGGAATACACGTAAAAAAAAAGGTTAATGTTTATAAAATCTGGGAAAATTTTTATGCCAAGATGAATTCATTTGAAACTTTATTTTTATTTTGAAATATTATGCAAAGGCATTTTTTTTGCAGAAATCTTGAAAAAGATCAAACGAAAGTTAATTTCAAGAAACAAAATTTTCTACATATTAATTGCAAAGGTAAATTCCAATAAATTCCAATAATCCTTACTTATTTAAATAAACTTTACCTTTTTATTATTTTCGAAATTTTCTGATAAATAATATATTTATATGGGAACTTCGAAAATTATCTCTAACTAAATCGTTTTTCTTCTTTGATAGATTGCTTCGATTTATGATGGGTAAAAAAGATCTGAAGATCGATTTTGAAGTGCAAAAGCTATTAATGTTGCTGATGAAATCAGAAAATGCATCAATCGACCAATTTCTGCTGTATGATGGAATAAATTAAAGACGTATTTACAGAAATATTTTGATAGCAATAGAAATTTCTATTGAAATCAATGAAGTTAGCTTTAAAGAATTGTCCAATATTTTGGCATTACTGAGTGATGTAAACATTTTCCCCAATTTAATTTCTTGCTTTCATTTTGATGATAATCCTTTTAAATTGACTAATGTTGTTATAGTGGCTTGTAAACACAATCGGTTAGAAATCTTGAACCAAATATTCAGTGAGGATTCTTCGATTATCAGTGATCTCTCCACTAAAGTTGATGGAACATTTCCTTTGCCTGGCGATAATGATGAAGAAAGTCACAATGCCTTTTATTATGCTGCGCGCTCAGGAAATACGAAACTTCTTGAAGTTTTAATGAAGAAGTGGCCATTGGATTATTTTTCATCACATGCTGAAGAACTGTGTTTTCTTCTGTCAAAAAGCTTGAATGAGTTACTGTTAAAAAATGTTGATGTTTCAACCGAAATGAAGATATATATACATAGTTTTTTGCTTGATAATTATTTTGAGCAAGTCATTCCATCAGATTCAACTGATTATTCTCATGACGATATCCAAGAAAGTTTGTCAGTTATTTTGGAGTATAGTGATTTATATCAAACAATGAACAAAACGAGCGAATCTAAGATCATGCAGGTGTTCTTAGCAAAACAGATTGCACTAAAAATAATGACTTTAAAAAAATTGCTAAAATCTACATATGACAGAATTCCTTGGGAAGAAATGGAATTTCACTTAATTTCCTTTATCCGGTATCTGAACAATCAAGGAAGTTACATCAATTGCTTTGTAACAGAGAATGACTTTGTGAAATATCTTAATAATTTTTGTGAGTGTCTGGTCTATGAAACCAAGGAAATTAATAAAATTGACAAGGAAGTGTTAAGTAAGCTTCCTGAAAAATTAAAACGTTATGATGTTGTAACAAGCATCATTTCTAAATATCCGCATTTTGAAGAATTTTACCAAAATTATGAGGTAATTCGTGATTATGAATCTCTCAATATTATTAAAAAATATGTGGACGTAGTGACTGAAGTGAACAGTCTTGAAAATAGTGGAAAAACTGTCATCATTAGAGCCTTACAAGTTTTGGGAGAGAATTTTAAAAATACTCTTGAATCGCCAAAACTCTCTCCCGCCACTAACGATTTTTTGATGGTGTTCATACCAAACAAAACAAATACTATTCTAAAATTTTTAAGAGATTCTTTTTCCCATGGTTTTCCTTTATCAACATTCAAAGATATTGAGGAACTTTACGGTACTGAGTTTTACACATTTGTTCAGAATGATGTGAAAAGTTTAAGTTGCGCTGTAACTTCAGTTCTCCAGAAAATAAAGTTTCGAACTGTCAGAACTTTATTGGAGAGAATTTGCAATTGCAAAGACATTGGTGAATATAAGACATTTCTCGCATGATTCGACTTGTATATTTTGAGAATGATATAACAGATATTTTACCAAGTAACGACAATACAGTAATTACTGTATTAGAAAAATTAATTGCTGACTTAAGTGAAATTATAAAAGTGAAAACACATTTTGAAGAGAGTATATTTTTAGAAATAGCAAGTATAATTAATTTTGAAAAGAGTTTTCTAAATAAGTCCAAACTTGAGTTGGAGTTCTATATCAACACGCTATGTCGTGCATCGATCCCTGACAGTATTTTGAATAGTTACACTATTTCTGAGAAAAAGAAGAAAATCAAGCACATGCTAAATGGTATAAACTCTGTAATGGTTCCAGAAAGCTTAAGAAGAATAGGATATTTAACTAATGAAATTTTCAAACATATTTTGTATAATAAAGATGAGCAAGATATGTCAAATATTTATTCTATAGTTTTGAAAATATTTTACATAACTGAATGTCAAGGAGATGAAATCAAACACCTTCAGGAACTTAAGAAGAATTTCACGAAGACTAAAAAAATAACTATTAATAATATCAGAAAAATAAAAAAATCTACAACAACGTCTTATCGAGATATCTTGTCAGATGATATTACATCTTTGAGAAAAATAATACGTGAACATAATTTATCTGAATTTAATACAGAATCCTTTTTCATCTATAAAAATGATTTTAAAATGCAAGTAGAAATTGAAATGCTTACATTATCAATTTTGTCTAGCTTAGAGTATTCCAATCTATTTTTGATTACGACTCAGCTATCTAACGAAGAGGGTCCTCTATTAGTTGGCAAATATCTAAGGAATTATCTAGCTCATGGAAATGCTGTTGCGGACATTTTAATGGATTCCACTCAGTCATTATTTATATTTACTTTGAAGATTATCAAGCATGATATTTATCGAAAGGGAAATTTTAGAATAAAGCGCATAAAGAATCTATGGAATGCAAAATCTATTGTTGAAAATCAAGAAAGTCTGTTTTGTGCTTTGTCTAACGGCTCCTTAGCTAATGTGAAACATTGGATGAAAGAAGGAGCAGATATTTACGGAAGGGATCCTGACAAGAAAACAGCTTTGCATTTTGCTTCAAAATCTTTTAACATTACTATTATAAAGTTCTTAATTGATCGCGGATTAAATCCAAAGACCAAAGATGTTAATGATATAAATATTCTTCACATAGCAACTGCATCAGGATGTAAGGAAGCAGTTTCGTATATTATAGAAGATTTGGAAATATCAGTTGATGAAAAATTAAAATATAATCAAACAGCTCTTCATATTGCAGCAGAAAAAGGATTTTTTGATGTCGTTGAAATTTTACTTCATCACAAAGCTACAATCAACGTTGGTCAGTTTCATGAGACGCCACTGTACAAAGCTGTAATTAATGATAAAGCAAAAACCGCTGACTTATTACTTCAGAATGTTCAGGATATAAATTCAATCCGACATGCATCAGGAAAGACTTTATTACATGTGGCTGCTGACTTGGGACACAAGAGCATGGTGGAATATTTACTCTGTAAAGGAACAGATGTTAATTCTGTATCTGATACACGGGTCACACCATTGCACAAATCTGCTTACGCTGGTCATCTAGAAATTGTCTCATTATTGATTTCTAATGGGGCAATCGTAAATGCTAAGGATTCAGCTGACAACATTCCACTTCATTTTGCTGCTTTTAATGGACAGTCATCGACTGCTGAAATTTTATTAACACATGGTGCAGATTTCAATGCTTTTAACAAAGAAAAACTTTCACCTTTGCATCGAGCCATTTTGAATGGACATATAAATGTATTGAAATCTTTCATTGAACACGGCGCAAGTATTGAAGATGTTGAAAGACGGGGTTTTCCAGTATTTGAATATGCAATCCCTCATAATAACTTAGAACTCATAAATATTTTAATCGAAAATGGAATGTCGATTAACATAAGGGACCCTAATGGTTGTACTCCTCTTCATCAAAGTATAAGAAATGGTTCGGTAAATATTTCGCTGAAATTAATCGAATGGGGAGCCGACATTAATTCAGTAGATAAATTCAATCTTACTCCTTTGAGCCTTTCTATCAAACTTGGTTATTTTGAAATAGTAGATAAACTGTTATCCGAACAGGCAAATATTCATTCTGTAGATTATAAAGGACACACTTTGTTGCATATGTGTGTCTTAAATTTTAAACTTTGGGACTCTATGGGTGAAGAATATTTTACAGAGACCTACAATAATTTAGTTTCTAATCCGAGTAGGCTTAACATTTTTAAAAAGCTGGTAGAAAATGGAATTAGTATTGAAAGTGAGAATATCTTTGGCAGAACTCCGTTGCACTTAGCTTGCATCTCAGGCTATGATGACATCGTTCAGTATTTAATCCCTAAATTATTTGACATTAATGCTTACGACAAACTAGGGTATACACCCTTACATCATGCTGTCAGACATAATCACCTGAATGTCTTAAATATACTGTTAGACAGTAAAAACTGTTGTTTGGATTCCAAGACGTTTAAAAACGAAACAGCTCTATGCTTAGGTGTATTAAACAATTATACAGAATCAACGCAACTGTTAATCAAATATGGAGCTGATGTGAATGATGGGGATCCTCTTCATGAAGCTCTTATGCGTGGAAATCAGGATATGTGTATAATTCTTCTAGAAAACAAATCAACCAATATCGAAAAGCAGTTTAAAGATAAATCTGAAACGCTTCTTTGGTTCGCCGTGAATAAAGGTCTGAAACGTGTGGTATCTTTTGTTCTAGATAAAAAGAAACTTTCGACGTCTGATGATTTAAATGAAATCTTATACTTTGCCCTTCACGGGGGTTACGATGACATTGTAAACATTTTATTAAATCATGGAGCTGATGTAAACTTTATTTTTAAACTAAATTTTTCCCCTTTGCATCTAGCAGTGTTTTGTGGACATTTCGACATCATTAAACTATTGTTAGAAAGAGGAGCAGATTTTAATAAACTGAATTCCGAAAATCAGAGACCGGTTGATTTGGCTGTATTTCTGGGTCATTTGGAATCTGCGCAAATATTTTTTCAGAAAAAAATTATAGACATAAATGAAAAAATCCATGGCGATTCTACTTTGTTAAATTTAGCTGCTGAATGTGGACACCTGGACTTAGTAAAATTTCTCATAAATGAAGGTGCCGATTTAAATGTAATTGGAAGTTTCGGCTCAAAACCCATACACATAGCTGCTTATTATGGACATTTGCACATTGTTAAATACTTTATTCAACGCGATGAAAAACTGCTAACAGACCGTGGATGGGCAAATATGAGTCTTCTTCATTACGCAGCCGGTGAAGGCCAAACAGAAGTTGTTAAATATCTAATTGAAAAAGGAATTGATGTCAATGATGAGTGTGACGATGGATTCCGACCAATTCATTTTGCAGTAAAGTTTAACCATGAGGAAGTAATCAAAGTATTGCTAAACTATGGTGCTATTTATGACTGCGTTATATTGCATGAGATTGAAAATAAAGACATTAAAGGAATCTTTCTGATGACAAAAGAACTTTTTCATTCAGTTATAAGCAATAATATTTCAAAAGTTATATCACTTGTTGATGAGGGTGCGTGCATCAATGATAAGGATTCAACAGATAGTACGGTTTTGC